TTAAAAATCAAAATAATGCTGCTTTCGTGCATTTTGCTCTGATAAGGTGTATAAAGTAATGGACTTTCAAAAAGAAAAACAAAGGGAAAAAAAAAGTACATGCTCTCAGTGCAAAAAGAGGCAGTGTACGTATGGGTACTTAACACTGGAGCTTCCATTTCAAGCAGCATTGTATTAAATCATGTCTGTGTCTATGCCATGATCAAAGTAGGCATATCTGCCCATGTCCACTTTGATACCCCCAGCATAGCATGTTCAATGGCTTTTCTACTTTTAGAGGGTTTTTTTTACAGCTTCCTTTAATGATAGTCCACATTTTCTGTTGTTTTTTCCTGCAGAAGATGCACACAGCAGTTAGTTAGACCCAAAAATATTAGAGATGGATTACACTTATACTTTAGGTGTGCCTCTGCTTAGCTTGTGTGTGTACACTTCAGAGCAAACCACACTTGCTAGTAAATTCACCGTGTGTGTGCTGTGGTGAGTGCATGCATATCTGCATGTATCGTAGTCACATAGTAAATATTGTGAGGATGTGCAGAAGCTTTAGTGAATCAGGCCCAATGGAAGTTTTGAAGGCTTGTCATTTTTAACAACTTGTGTAATCCATTGATTGAAGCATGTGTGATTTTATACAGAATAAAAATCAGATGAAGGCGTCAGAATGTTGAAAAATGTCTACAATCTGTGAAACAGCCTTTCCTGTTGGGAAAGAGTGATGGGAATGAATGTTCACTGCTTGTATGCCAAAGTCCAGTTTAAAACTTGCAGCAGGTCTGGTGATTTGGTAGTTTTGGGAATGATGGGCAAATTAATTTTTGCTGTTGTTGTCAATAGGAGATCTACCTCTGTGCAACCTTTTACCTTTAGTAATATGATCATTTTAGACAATAAATAACTGTCTTTTTATGCAGAATATGGATGGTAAAAGAAAGTCTCATTGGGAATTATGGGAAAGTGAGACATCTGCCTGTCCTCCAGTAAAGACAGCCAACCCATCGATTAAATGTGTGTGAACTTTTTGTTTTTTCATTTTCTACATGGCAAAATGATCCATTTGTTAAAAAAAGTTTTTCCCACCTGTGGTCGCAATTCTAGCAAGCCTCTCTTCATACTCTGATTTTGTCAATTAAAGATCGTCAGTTTGTCATAGAATTTAGTGATTATTGATGACAAGTCCCGATATCTGATCACTGCAGACATTTTCTTCTCACATTTCCAGTGGGTAGTTGTCACTAGATGTTAAAGTATACAATAAAGTACACTAGAAAGGTAAAGTATATAAAGCCAAAATGTTTTATGGATTGTTTGACTAATACAACATATCAATAATAAATTGAGAGTGCTTTTACAGCTTTAAGTATTGAATGCTGGTGACTTTTTTTTGTTATCTTCTGTGGCTTCACACAGCACCATCTGTGACTGTCACTGCAAGCACCACCTTACTCAACTTGGTTGCAACACTGTATGGAGTGCAGCCAGGGCCAGATTCCCGGCAAGGCCACCGAGGCCCGGCCTCGGGACGGCACTGAGCAGAGGGGCGGCACAGGTTTGAATCACCCGACACCCGGAACGTGGAGTTCCGGGCGCCGGACGGTAATTTACTTTCTACATTTAGCCCTGCTTTGCATAAGGCAGTCTAAATGTAGAATAGGAGAATTCACCTGTTTCTTTACAAGTGATCTCGGCGATGTCACCGAGAACACTTGTAATTAGACTGCCAGTCCGTCCTCCCCCTGCCGCCCCCCTTCCTCCCCTGCACCTACCTCTCTCCATGCTGCGTCCTCCCGGCTCCGTCTCCTGGCTCCGTCCTCGCCGCCGTCTTCAGTATGGAGAGTGGTGAGCAGAGCTGCAGGGCTAAACGTAACCCTGCCGCTCCGTGTACACAGTGAGAGGGGAGAGCAGTGCTCTTCCCATCTCAGCTGTCACAGGAGTTCCAGCACAGTGCTGTGAAAAAAAGTAACAAAATTGAAAAAAAAGTGATAAAAATGTTTTAAAAAAAAAGAGAAACAAAAATAAAACATAAAAAATTCAAACCAACCCTGCCACCCCTGCTATCTGGTTGGGGGGCGGTGGGGGGGGGATGCATTGCCGAACCCGGCCTTGGGGCGGCAGGGAGGGTAAATCCGGTCCTGAGTGCAGCTGGCATCTATACTTTCCTAAGGTTCCTATTGTGGAGATTGACCCTCTCTATGGGTCCTGCTGTCTATTGTAACCAGAAACTGACATACCAAACTTTTTTCCTAGAGCCCAGGATTAAAGTGACACTAAACTCAGGAGTTAAGTCTTAAAAATGCATTCAAAGTTTATCTTATTTGTGTATCACTCGGCTGTAGATCCCCGAATCATCTCTGAATTGGTGCTGACACTGTCCTTCCTTCTGGAAGGTGGCTACATTTGTTTCCCATGCTCCTGTATGTAATTTAAGCATGAATTCAGAGATGATTTGAGGATCTACAGCTGAGTGATACACAAATACGCTACATTTTTATTAATAGTTAAGGTACTTAAATTATACCACAATGAAGTAATAAGTAAATATTATACCCCCCTTTAACGGATTCTCCTCATTATGATTCTCTTATTGAACTATTGGCTCTCCATTATCCCCCTATGCAAAATTTCTAAGCATTAAAATAAACACAATGAAAACAAAAGAAACACCTTATACCCTGATTTCCAGCTGGTTACCTTGGGTGTAAGTCATGAACCTCATTACAGCCTCCTATGAAACCTGAGCATGGATTGGAAGGTAGTGATGCGGGGTTGGGGCCAAGAGTTCACTTTTCATGGCAGGACTACTGTAGGATTTGAATATAAGCATAAAAAGTATAGCATAGGTGTTAAATTATTTTTTTTGTAATGAAACACACTGGGGATGATTATCATAAAGCTGTAGATAATGTTTGCTCAATAAATAAAGGGAAGATGTTTTCACCTTGATCATCCAGTCGTGTACAAGGGAAAATCCTGTTTGTTTGTTTGTTTTGATGAACACATCTTAACACAAGTTAGCATTGTCAACTTTATTAGTAAACCAAACTCATTGCATAATTCTTTGTTGCACCCTAAATGTTATTGTATTATACCGCGGCTTTAGGCTAGAGCCAGACCAAAGATTTGTGACTGTGTAATTGTGCAAGTAAACTCATACAATCACTTATATGCTTTGGGGCACATTATATATAGTGTTTATAGGTATTATTTATTCATGTGGTCATAGGATCAGACAGTGACACAATGTTTCAATGCTGTTACATTGCAGGTAGTGGTAGTAGACTTTTGAACAACTGTGATTAGTTGCACATATTGCCATCCAGTGCTTTCCATAATTTTATGCACTATTTGAGTACAGAAAGTTATCATGTGACCGTTCCTCCCTTTTTAATTAAATTGCAAGAACATCCATCGCGGAAGTTTGGATATGTTTGTACATTGATGCGCAATTGTTTACATTTTATTTCTTTAAATAGATGAGCACACAAATGTCTTTTAAGTAGCTCTGACCTTAATTTATACATTAGAGAATATATCCTGCTTTGTTTATCAATGGAAGTCCTTCACGTGTTTCTGAACACACATATTGTACGTAATGTGTAGAACATGCAGTCAATAATCAGGGAGGGTGTTCATCATAATTAAAATGTTCTTACAAAGCAATTTGCAAGAATCTGCGTTTAAATTATCATATAGAATATCTAAGAAATGTTCTTGTACAAGCTTAATGTATGAACACACTTGGGCTGATTTCCAAAAGGAATTGAGAATGTTCACGCAAACAATTGTGTAAATATTATCCAATCCAGTGCAGATGAAATGCATAAACAGAAATGTACTTTTCACATGTTTGAATAATTGAAGTGAATATTCAAACAGTTCATTGTGCAAAGATTCTTGTGTGAATTTTCTCAACTCCTTTAGGAAATCAGTCTCATTCTGTCTGGTATCTATGCTCTAAATGCCATGTGCTGCCCATATGATTTATTGCCATCCTAGCTTGCCTTTTCTAATCTGCACTGGCAATGGACTGTCAGACTCTAACTGGTTCATTTAGACAACATATACTTCTCTTTACATTCTTTGCTCTAGTTTTTTTATGAATAAAAGTGTCGCTATCAACATTCAGCTGTTTTTAGTTTCTTCTATCCTAGACTTTTAAATACCAGCTTGAATGTGAATGGGAAACACTATACATGTTACAATCCGATTGTGCAACCTTTGCATAATAAAGACTTACCAAAACTATGTAATGTGAGGTCCTACCTAAACATCCATTTAATTTGTATGCAATTAGAAGACCCTTGCATTACTTTCTTGTTGGTGAATCTCTAAAAGATTGTACAATCATATTGTAACATATTTCATACAGTACTGAGAAGATTAGTGTTCCCGCTTACCTCATCTGTGTATAAATGATTACTGATAATATATTGTGCGTTGCTTATGTACCTATTTAATAAAGGCAATTAGCAAAAATAGCTACAAAATGCAGTAGCGTCACAAGGGGGGTGTGGGGGGTGCGGCCCGCACCCGGGTGCCACCATTGGAGGGGTGACACCAAAATGACTCACAGTCATTTTGGTGTCACCCCCCCTCTGAAAAGTCGGGCGCTCGGTCATGGACCGAACGCCTGACAGTATCAGGAGAGAGGAGGGGACCCGGCGGCATACCTTATCCCGCCGGGTGACTGTCCCCTCCTCTCTCAGCATACTGACGCGCGTGCGCGATGACGTCATCGCGCACGCGCGTGGTGACGTCACGCGCATGCGCAGTAACGTCTCCGTGGGGGGCGAAGTAACGTCTCGTCGGGGTGACACTCGGTTACCACTCCGGGTGTCACCCAGCCTCGGGACGCCACCGATAAAATGTCCTCTTTTCAGTACAGCAGTTACATTCTGTCAGCAATGATGCGGAGCTTTATATGTTTATATGTTAAGAATTAAAGAATTTAATTTAAATTGATGGTTATTTTTTTTCATTTCTTGCAGAAGGCCGAGTCTGCAGCTGGAACTCAATAGAAAGAAGTGACCTTCATGATGAACACAAACATGGTTTTATAAAAACACCGCAAAGCCACTGTCAGTTCTCAGCCCTTCAAGGCTCCATGGGACTCTACTGGAGCTAAGATATTGGTAGCAGGCAGCTGGTGAACTGCACACTGTAAATTGTGTAGGAAGATGAATGCCATAAAATGTGTTCTGGTGGGTGATTCTGCCGTTGGGAAGACAGCACTTCTTGTGCGCTTCACCGCTGAGACATTTCCAGACTCCTACAGGCCAACAGTCTATGAGAATACAGGGGTGGATGTTTTCATGGATGGAAACCCGATCAGTCTTGGCCTTTGGGACACATCAGGCAATGATGCCTTTAAGAGCATCCGCCCCATTTCATTACAGCACGCAGACATTGTCTTACTCTGTTTCTCTGTAGCCAACCATACCTCATTTCTGAACATTAGGCAGAAGTGGATCGCTGAGGTCAAGCAACATCTACCACATATCCCTGTGCTGGTTGTGGCCACTCAGACGGATCAGAGGGAATCAAATTTCATGCGTGTCCCCTGCATCAGCCCTGAAGATGGTAAGCAGTTAGCACAAGATGTTCGAGCCAAAGGATATTTAGAGTGCTCAGCTCTTAGCAATAGAGGAGTGCAACAAGTGTTCGAATGTGCTGTGCGGACTGCAGTCAACCAGGCCATGAAAAGAGCACGACGGAAACGATTTTCTGTCAATGAGTGCAAAATTATCTGAGTTCCTTGTGACAGGATACATTTCCTCTGCTGTGTACTGTATATAGCAACATATAAAATGCCACCTGCGCTGCCCGTCCTAAGCAGCGTACACATGATGTTGTTAATTCTGGAACTTCTCGATCTTACAAGTATGGATCAGTCTCTTTACAGCCAGTGGCTGTGGCTTGATGGTAATTCTGACTTGCACGGTTTGGAAGATTACACAACATGGAAAAAGAAAAACATCCGGGTAAATCAGGAAATATTACAGAACTTTAATATACTTCTGATGTTGTAAAGAAAATATTTATTAACTTAAAGAAAGTACATGTCATTGGAAAAAAAAAAGACTAGTGTATAGAATTTTTTTTACATTTTAGAATTTGTTTAATTTGCAGTGTATCGAAGTCCAGTTGGTATGAGGAGAAAGTCTGAACACTTAAACACTGGCTGTTGATTTTAGAGCATTGCAACTTGTTAGTAATTATTTTTTTATTAGAGTTCTTCTTGTTTAGTCATTTCTATAACATTGTGTCTGAACCTGCAATAGCCAGAGATATGGAGCATTGTTTGTTCACAAGTTTTTATTAAAGGCAGATATGCGCCAAACCAGTGCAACCAATGAACAGCTATTTTTCTCTTATCTAGTAAAGAACATTTCTGTCATTGTACAGTGCAAATGACTGCATGAGTATGGATAATTTATTATATTTACTTTTATTTACATCCAAGTTTGAGCAAAAATGCACTTTGGTATAACCTAAGCAACATATTATATCATCTAAAACACAAACTACAAAGAGACTTTTTCAAGCTATCTATAAAAGGAAGCTTTTAAAATGTTTCAAAATACCAAATCAAATGTAAACATGCAGTGGAAAATTGACAGCTGGAGAATTAAAGTTTGAATATGTGGGACATTTTAGACAGTTATTTAATGCATTTTGTGAATAGAGGCCCAAAGTATCCCACCCCTAATCTATAACCTCTATTATATCACCAGCCATGCACATCATGGCTGATGCTAGGGAGGTAACAACCCATTTAATCTCTAGCAAAACTGAATCAGAATCTCTCATTGAGAATAGAGCACTTAGACTGTGCCCCTACCAAGCCCCTTAGTGTCTGAACTTAAGTTACACAATACAGAGCAGTTTTCATAGCTTGAGGCAGATTTCAGAGATTTAATTTATGAGCTTCCAAACAGTTGGTTTACTTCTGCTGTCTACTCATCTGTGGCACCATGAATTTAAAAAGTGGCTTCTCAGTCTGGTCTAGAAGACTATGATCTTCTTTCATATATTAAAGAATTTGCTGTAGTAATGGTATGTTGCACTATAATGAAAGTGACCTGTAATGTCTTCAGTCACTTTTCCAGCTCCCTCGTACAAACTCCCAGTTTGTCCAGAGCAGAATTTCCCTTTTTAGAATTGAAGTGCTGAATCCTTAAAGTGAATCCATCGTAATAATATAATAAAGGAAATAAGAAAGATACACTATGTGCCATAGCAGCAGAAAGCACAGGGTGTCTGCACATACTTCTATTACTTGTCAAAGTCCCTCCTTTACATCCTGGGTGACACTCGACAGGAAGTTTCACTTGGCTAAAAGCTGAATTTTGTTAATATGTCCAGGTTTGCGATCGTGTAGGAGAGGCTTTGTCATTTAATGGGTGATGTCTGCCATAAGGGTCGAGGAGATTGTATAAAGATTGAAATGTGTGGCCAGGTTTACTGGTTTGTAGACATGAGATGGAAGATTGGATATTAATTGTTCTTCAGAACAATTTTGCCAAAAACACAACAGGACACAGGAGTGTCATTTATATGTAATGCAATTCTTGATTTGTGATAACTCATTTTTAATTATACTCTGCAAATCAGTGAAACATATTTTTTAATGTCCCACAAACTCAAATGGTGGTTGTTCTTGTAACAAGGACTCAGAGATTACCAAAGAGCAGTTAAGCCCACCATACACACCCTTTAAATTCACAATAGCTGGTAAATATATAGATTCAATTATGTGTACCTGCAAATGGAGAAAATAACAAAGCACACAGAGATATTCCGGCATGCCAGAAAATCTTTGTAATAGATCAACTCTTGCCTCCAGTTCTCTATAGAAAAAGGCATCAAGCCTTTTGGGCATGTGTATTGCATAAAATGTCAGCGTCAAGGGGGAAATTTTTTTGGGAGGTCACTGTTGTCTGTGCTCCATCAGACATGTCTCACCCCAACAAGGGATGTGATCTTCTCATGTACAGGAAGTCAAAGTACTGCTATCAGAAAAGTTGATTCTGTGATCTGTGATGGGTCGCTGTGGATTATTACTGTTATGTGCAGCATGATAATAAATAAAGCCAAATTAATCTCAAGTATGGTAAAAATGTTCATGGTCCTGTGATCTGATTAATAAAAATCCTTACACAAATAAACCTGATCTTTCCTGTTTTGAACTTGAACATTATGAATAATACAAACTTCTGTTTGTATATATATAACCTCAAAATATATAATTCCTGATGATTTACATTATATATAGAACCAACTTCCCCATGGATCATACTCCTGGATAGACCCTGTAATGGGACAGGAACATATGGCAGGTTACTGCCTTCCAGAACAACTCTGGAGGTACATCACTGAATTCTATCCGTAGGCATGGCAGTCTGCGGAAGAGCGAACCCAGAGATTAATCTGAGGCTTCATCTGCTTGACCAGGCACAATGCATGTGACCTAGTGCACACAGAGTGCCACTTACAAAAACCACCAGAAAGATGAACAGATCGACCTGAAAGAAAAAAGATAACCTCCATGTTCTTCCCCAGCATAGCAGCCACATTGCTGGCATGAGCTGAAATAAAAACTTTATCCTGGAATACTGGCAACATTGATGCACTATTTAGATGGAAGGATCTTCCAACCTTCAGAAGATGCTGGGAGAGAGAGAGATTTAGTACTCCCTTGCCTGTGAAGCCTAGTAGCAAGAATATGGTTGCAGCCCAATCTTGACTATCCAACACACTCCTCACCGAGGAGATTACCGAAGGGAAACTATTCTACATGTTGCTGTCCACACTGAGTAAGTGTGAGCTATATGAAGTTGAGGAAGGAAGAACAAATACAGTACTACTTGTAGATTCCAAGGAAAGAAGAGACTCTTCTGAAGAGTGAATCCTTGCACAAGTCCTTAAGAGCTGGCTTATCAATTAATGAGCTACTCATTGTGTCTCAGAGTATGAATATAGAGGGTACTGACACCCAAGTAGACATTGTTTGCCTGAAGAAAGTCCAACATATCTGTCATGGTAAGGTGAAGAGAGACCAAACCTATTAAGCTTGCGAAGTCTATGAAATTATTCCACACTGTAGAATATATGTGATGTTGAGTAGGTGCTATATTATTCAACAAACACTCTGACTGTATATGAGTAATCCAGGCAAGGCAGACTTCCCTTTCACAAGGCCAGGAGGCTAAGCAATTGTTCAACCCGCCGCCATGATGGAGGAAGCATCCGAACATGAAGAGACCCCAAGAGACCATTTCCTGCACCCCAACTCCAAGGCTATGGGGGAGGCTTCACTATTAAGATTGCATTCAGCCACCTGAACAAAGGGAACTTTGTTCAGGAGAGGCTGAACCTGTGCTGCAGGCCAGAAGAAACCAGCAAGGTGAGAGCAAAAACTCAAACATATTCTTAGTATAACCGGTTTGAGCAGTGAGGACAGAAAAAAGAATGGTGGCCTTGGGAGGCGGGCTTTAATTTATAGTATAACTGGTCCTGAGTGCCTGGGAGCCCAGATGTTGGGTATTTCTGTCCATAGAATTGTATGGACACAATATGCTATACGCATGTGTAAACACAAGTACCGATGTTTTAACTTGCACGCATATTGGCGTATGTTCCGAATGCGAAACTTCTGTACATGTGCACGTGTAAACACTGCTACTTGCATTTCCAAATGAGGTTTCTATTTTACAGGGGAGATTCTCTCCACTTTGACATTCAAGGGCTGCTGCAGTGGTGAAGTAAAGAGAGATTGATGTGTAAAAAGTGGTCTGCAATTAGTCATACATGTATGCATTAGAAAGGAACTTTGCAGCTTGCATAACAGGAAGAAAGGTAATGGTGTACTAAGGCTTGTTGTGGACTTTTTAAAGACACTCTGTCATGGGTAACAAAACAAAACTGCTTCAGGTATGAAGTTCAGATGAATAAATGTCACCAGCACACCACCAGTATTGCAGTCCAAAGAGTTTGTTTATTGGAACGTCATATCACCAAAACTAGCGATTTCGGGGATGAAGGGGACCCTGTGTGGCTCCAAAATCTCTAGTTTTGGTGACATGACATTCCAATGAACAAACTCTTTGGACTGCAATACTGGTGGTGTGCTGGTGACATTTATTCATCTTTATACTGTGTGGCGCCACCATCCGCAGGTCACTACAAGCACCCCCCCTCATTCAACTTTGGGTTTTTCCAGTAAGGAGTGCGACAAGGTATCTTTTTGTTTGTCTCGGGTATAAAGTTCATACACACAGAGGTGTACATACCTGCAACAACCGCTAAAACCCTCTAGTTATGGTTGAATGCTGGGCTTTTCTGACAGGCAAAGCTCCGAAATGCCTGGCAATATCAGAACTTGCTGCTATCTTCAGCCCCCGACCTTTTATTGGCCATCACTATGATGGGCAACCTCACTGGCCAATGTGCAGAACACAGAAAGGATTGGCCAAGATTGGGTGTTATCAAGAAGTGCTGGAGCGTTGGCAGTCAGTATGGCCCTGTGTTTTGCCATAATATCATATTAAGGTTTTAATAGTCTCTTGTGGTATCAAAACCAAAAGCCCTTTTCGTATTACAGTATGCGTTGCAGTAATGCAACACATTACCATGTGTTAAAGCAGCCTGGTAATTTTGAAAGCTCATGGCATGTGCATCGTAGGGTGAAGAAATGTGAGTGGGTAACTTGCTACTGTAATAGTTCTTCAGGGATGCCATTAAAAATGAATGGCATGACCACACTCTGCACAATGGTCCATAAATGTGAATGGGCCTTTAGCCTTTTTTTCAGAGTAGCAGCAAATATTAGGAAGAACCCTGAAGCTCAGAGTTGATTTAATTTATAGTTGACAGTAATCTGA